CATTGTATGCATAATCATTTCCAAATTCGGACCGTGGACGTGTTATATTCCCAGACGTTTCGCCGGCATCGTCTGTGAGTTTTGCCATCCGTAGCACCATATTACAACTCGTCAAAGAGACCAAAGGAGACTGCGACCACACAGAAGGCCACACCATCTTGGTCTTCATACCTTCCATTAATACTATTATTAATCCCACAATTTTAAGACTACTAAGGGCGAATTGGCCGCGTTTGAAAACCTGCTATGATTTCTTAATATGTAGACATTGAAGTAATTGAGGAAGTTGAAAATTTCACTTAATAAGGACAGGAATTTCCCATAATTCAAGGTTCGTTGTGGCTTTCCAGCTTTAACTGATCTAGCACCATCGCATAAAATAATCTTTTTTTTTTCGTAGGTAAGTCTCCTCTAGGCGGCATCTTCTCATGTATTGCAGTGCCGGATACCAGCATAAACAATCGAGTCTATGCCGTTGGCTCATATAGTGGTGATGTGGGTGTGTTTTCTGAACCTGGACGCCTTATTTCACATCTACAGGGCCCCAGGCCTGGCATCACTCAGCTTGCTTTTAACCATTCCCCCTGTCTACCAAGTCTGCCGGCCGTGAAAGGTGCTGAAGCTTCCACTTCCAGAGCTGTAGATCCCTCCCTTCATCAATTCAGCTCACTCCTTTTGGCTGCAGGGGCTCGTGCCGATCCTCGCATCCTTGTCTGGGACATGCGTCGCCTAGATGAGCCGTTGGTTGTAATCTATCGACGGGTTGAAAATCATCAAAGATTTCAATTTAGTTTTGACGCGTAAGTCCGATAACAGCCTTCTTTAAATCGGAACCTTTGACATATCCTATTGTAAATATGGCTCATTTATGTATGCACTCTACTATTCTTTGACAGATTTAAAGGAGTATGCGATCATATCTTCACAACGGATTTTTTGAGGGAAACAAGAAGCTTTCTCAGCGACAAATCCTTTTATCTTTATCCATTAAAAGAACTCATTACTTTTATGTGTCGTTCTTTAGCCTTCGAGTTGGCCATGGAGAGAATAAACGTGACATTACCCTAGTTTATTCTCCGTTCAGGATGCTGATAAATCATGGGGAAGGTGGAAACTTCAGTCCAGTCTATATCATAATTTCTTTTGGGCGGGAAGGCCGAGCGAAGCCTGTTCATATTGTGGTGGGACAATTTAGCCACCAGTCCTTCATTATTTGATGTGGCCTGGGGTGAATACAGTTCTTTTTAAAAATCTATCGGTAATATCGAAACTTATCAAGCTTGAATAGATCCCATATCTTCTCAAAGATCTCAGGGATGAGACAAAATGATGTAAATCATTGAGGAACATGATAAGTGATTTAGGCCATTCATCGTGCGTCATTCAGTATCGCTTAACCTGCCTTCCACTCCTTATGAAAAAGTATCATGGGGAGCCAATTCAATCGATGGTATCCGTAGCTCTTTCCCTTAGTATGGTCGGAATCGACAATTATATAAACATTGTTGACATCTAAAGATATTTTAAGTACACTGTTTTGTCTAAAAATTCAAGTGAATTAAAATACAAATAAATCTTTTTTTAATTGGTCTATCTGAATAGCTCTCCTTTTATCTAGTTCCATGAGCCTTATTTTTCTTATCCTGAGCAGGGATTCTATCTTATCCCAAAATCCTACTATCGTGAACATTAATCTGCTTGTTTTTTCATCTTTTCTCATACGAATATGAATACACATACTCGCACCTTCAGGACTGGCCGTTATTTGTTAACCTGCAATCAATCAGGCGCGATATCTGTTTTCGACATGGCTACTTGCTCCGGCAATCTCGAGGAGCCAGTCAGCAGTCCGATTCCAGTTTCGGTTTGGCGGGCCCACATAGATTGTGTTCACGGGCTTAGTCTCAATCCATGGCTTCCTTTGTTGGCCACATCTTCAGGTCAGCGCCGCAGCACTCGACATAGCCAACTGCTCTTGAATGCTCGGGGTGACCAAGTCTCAGATCAACCCTGTAAAAGCCAGAACTTGCTCTTAAAGACAACCAGCATTATCACGAAGAATGGTAGGATAAAAAACTACAGATCTGTTGGTGATGATAAGAGAAAGGAGCCTTGACTTTTTGAATCTTAAAATAGCCATATACTCTAATTTCCAGCTCAAAAGTAAAATATTGTTTATATGCAATGTTCTTTTATTTGAATAAAGGAAAAATAAAATCTAGAGTAATATTTAAGTATATTTTTCCATACTCCTTGTAAATTCTCACTTTTCATTTCATGTAAGCTAGGTTGTAACGAGATATTCGCAATTTATAAGACTATTTTTCCTAAGTCACACAGATCCTTT